CCTGGCCGAGCCACCTACAGGTGGCTCGGCCTTGGCCGAGCCACCTACAGGTGGCTCGGCTTTGGCCGAGCCCCCTTAGGCGGGTTTTCCGGTTTCCGTCGTTCGGGTTCCGTCGTTCGGGTTCCGATTTGTTGTTGATTTGGACTTTGATTCGGTTGCGTGGTTGACTTGTTCGGATTCGATTTGTTGATCCGGTTCCTGATTAGGCAGTAAGTCCACTTCTGAGTTCGAGTCCGAAACCGATCTTGATTCGATCGTCATATCACCGAGTTCGTTCTTGTTTAGATGACTCGGTGATTCCCCGAAACGTTGGTTCGATTCCGCGTGCGAGTGGATGCGTTCCAATGCTTGGGTGCGATTTGTTGGCTTCGTCGCCTCGTTAATCTGCTCCGTTGCGTATGGTTTGGCTTCGGCGTTAGCGGGATAACGGTAGTGCTTGGATACGTCGCCCGATGGTCCGTTTGTCGAAATTAACGTCATCGAGCTGTATTGTGGGACCTATAGGCAATTTTATACGCCTACAACTAGCTGGTGAACATTAGGCCGGGTTATCTGACTTTTCGGGTGAGGAACCAGTGTTTCATAGAACCATATCTACCCTGCCGATTCGCTCGCCAGTTTGGCTATGATCAGCTTTATGTCGGAAATCCACGTCAGCAGCTTCGGACCCACGGCGGTTTGGTGGACGGTCTCCGGGCGTGGTTGTAGACCGTGACGGGTTGTACTAGTGCTAAGTTCAGTCTCCCGAGTACTGAGCGATAGTTGAATCCCACCTTCTTAAGCTGCAAGTGGTTGTTAGCAGCTAATAAAACTATCTCCGTGAAGCCGATTGCAGAGCTAGAGGCCGAGGAAGCTTCTCAAGTTGATTCTCATAGGATTTGGGAAAATGCTCGGTCGCAAAGGATACAGAACAAGACTCGTCGGATTAATGAAGAGGGGAAAAGGGTCTTCCATTCTGCAGACGAGGCTTCAGGCGGAGATCCTGAAGACTATGAGGACTTTTCCGAGCGAGGTTAACTACCATTTTTTTTTTGTCTTCCAGAATTATTAAAACTGACAATGGTTTGATGTTTCAGGGACCATTGGTGACCAGGATGAAGAGATCCGTCCTCCTCCCCAGGCGAGACCTTCGATTATTGTCCCTGCTGCTAGGCGGAAGAGATTAGCCCGCAAGCCGCGCGCAGCTTCACAAGTACCTGATATGGATTTGGCTGGTGATGATCCTGCTAGTGATGGAGGTAACATCTACCTGTAAACCATCCTCTTGATTATTCAGAACTTTAACTCATGCTTTTCCATTTCTATATAGGAGAGCGTGGGGAAAGCGAGATGAGTCCTGATCCTGTATCTTCTGGCGAGCCTAACTCACCGCACCAGGTAGAAAGGCCTGCAGAAGCTGCCGACGTTAGGGAGGATATCAATGTAGGACCCGATTCAGCGAATCCAGATACATCTACCATTGACAATATATCTTTTAGTTGGCACACAAAAGAGTTGAATGATTCAGAATTTGTGCATTCCCTAATTGTCTCTGTGCTCCTCGCTCCTTTAGATAACTTGCAGGAGGCAAACATGGATCTTGGGAATAAAGAGGCTAACGCACCTATAAGAGGTAACTCATTTCTATCGGTTGTAGTCTCTTCGTTCTTCTTTGGTACTTATATTCTCTTGTGTCAGATTTCTCAATTGATGATTTTGACGAGGAAGGCTTACTTGTGGACACTCCTATGCTCCACTTCATGTATGGTTCTCCTTAGATTGATGACCAGTTGCCTGGAGATATATTTCCTGAGTCCACGTTCCCTAAGAACCCCTAGGATGGTTCTTTTGAAGGTACGCGCCTCCTCCCGAGTTAATTATAGGACTAGCCAATTTTTGACTACTGCAGCTATAATGTGATGCCTCTGAGAATTCTGGTTTGTATTTGCCAGAAGCTTTTGTCGAGAATAATCCTGTTGAACCGTCTGTGGGACCAACTACACCAGTTGATACATCCACAGCGGTCACACCTCCACTACCCCCAGTGACTCAAGAGGGTATGAATTAAGTAACTGAGAATATTATTTATTTACTCCTCAAGGTCTTTTTCTGACGGATTTCTCTTTCTTTGTGTAGGGCCTTCTTCTCGTCTTCATGTCCTGGCGAAGGAGTTGTTATCTGACGATGACCCTGAGAAGATCGTCATCTGCATAGAAGTCCGCTCCTTCTTCTCTTTCGTGAATGCTATGATTGGCAAGCTTTTCCACGGTGGACTTTCCCTTCGCCAATTCAAGCCTTTCCTTGATTCCAAGGTCAATTCGATAAGGGAAGCAGGATATCCAGATTTGGCAAAGGCTATAGTTGACGACCTCGATTGCCTAGAGCATGAGCTTCAGATGTTTCGTGAGCTCCGAGATGCAGGCGCTTCCTCATTTATTGCTGCCGAGTTGGATACCCGCTTACAGTCATTGCGCGAGACTCGGATTCTTGATGAGCTCGATATTCAGACGCAGCGGGGCCGAGTAGATCGAGTTGAGACCAGTCTTGCCGCTAGATCATCTTCACTTGCCGAGCTCGACCTTTCTATTACCTCTTGTGCGACCGAGATAGACCAGCTCAGAAGGGTACTCCGTGAAAAAGAGGAGACTTTGGGTATTCTTCAGATGACGAGAGCACAGGATCAGCAAACCCACACTGCCTTATTTGATGAGTTGAAATCCTTGAAGCAGAAGCTAGTCGAGAGAGAGGAGATTGCTGCGAAGACTTCAACCACCACCGAGGAGTCCATCAGAGCTGAACTTAGGCAAGCTTATGATGAGAAGCTGTCTAAGATCAGTCAGCAGATTTTTGGTCATGGGTTTGATGTATAATTTTGTTTGCTGAGTACTTTTGACTTTTGATTTACTTAGTGAAACTGGTTCTCATTTTTATTTTTATTATGATTCGTCATTCCGTTTGGAATAATTGACCATAATACTCATAGGATTTTTGGCAAACCCTCAGCCATCAACGGGTTTGATGAGCCTTTACCGACTACCGTTTGAGTCGGGCTAGCATGCGGATTGTTTAAATCCGTTCGCATGTAACGTTGCGCTCAAAGATTGAATTCTCTAAGACTTTGTGCTATGATGTCGGATACATAGACTTCGCCATTGTTACGGGAATAGGCTACCCGGCGACACGTGTTAGGTGTTGGCTTTAGGATTTCTTAGGTTTCCCCAGCCTTCAACGGATTTGATTAGCCTTTACCGACTACCGTTT